TGGCCAACCTTTTTGAGACGACATCCAGAGCTATCAATAAGAAAACCTGAAGCCACTAGCATCTCAAGAGCTGTTGGCTTTAACAAACCATCAGTAGACAGATTTTATCACCTCGTGAGACAGGAGATGGAAAAGAACCCCCCCCCCCCCCCCCCCAGCTCCATTTGGAACATGGATGAAAGCGGAATAACAGCTGTGCATAGGCCTATGAACATTCTAGCGAAAAAGGGTGACAAACAAGTGGGCAAAATGACAAGTGGTGAACGTGGCAAAACTGTTACGGTTGTGTGTTGCTTTAGTGCGACAGGCACTTATGTCCCACCTATGCTCATATTTCCCAGGAAAAGGATGCCGACAGCTCTTATGAAGGGGGCTCCAGCTGGATCGGTTGCTAGAGCAAGCAAGAATGGTTGGATAAATCAAGAGGTGTTCCTCGATTGGCTGAAACATTTCACAGGGTTTGCAAGGCCAAGCAAAGAGAACCCATGCATGCTTATCCTCGACGGTCACAGCTCTCACAAGACACTCGAGGCTGTAACGTACGCCCGGGAAAAAGGCATCACGATGATTGTGTTACCACCACATACCACGCATAAACTGCAACCATTAGATAGGACCTTCTTTGGCCCCCTTAAGTCCAACTTTAATAATGAAGCAGATAAGTGGATGCTTATGAACCCGGCAACCAGAATATCATTCTTCGAAATGGCTCAGCTGTGGAGATGCGTACCGAAAAACATCCACAATGCTAAAAGCCACAAATGGCTTCCAGTGCTCTGGCATTTGGCCTTTTAATCCTGATGTTTTCACCAGCGATGATTTTGTAGCTCCGACGTTCATACAATTTGGCCCTCGCTCTATGAAGGTTCATACTCCAATGAACCCACACAAAGTGAAGGTCAATTCTTAAATAAACATTGTTGTACATATTTGGTAATTTCTTTGAGGTGTGAACTTTTAACTCGGCATCCAGCGTGTTCTTTGTTTTTGTCTTGTTTGCATTACCATCATCGCCTTGATAATCCACAGACATGGCGGAAACCTGTGTTTTGTGTAGGGTCACATTATTTAATGTAGTAAGCAGTACATGGAACGACGTCACTTATGACAATGGTGTTATGTATTAATGCGCCACTGCGATCATGAGAATATACAAAATGCATCGATCCGATGCTAAAAAGGTGCGATTTTAGGGTGTGTAAGAAACAAAATACTGTACTCGTGCCTGTCAGATTCCATTGATCTTACAACTCGTTGTTACAAAGCGTATCTAACTCGCTTTCGCTCGTTAGATACGTTTTGAAACAACTCGTTGTAAGATAAATGGAATCTGATAGACACTCGTGTAGTAATCTCTATGTATGTATCTACATTTCGTAAAACTTCCGCCGGAAACCCCTTCTCGACATTTTTAAAAATCGTGACCCTTGGCTAGAAGTATTGAAAAAAACATTATCTAGAGTTAGTGTAGGCCGGGATACTGGATGGTTGAATGTAGTGTAACATGCATTGTGTTCGGGGACAAGGACCAAGAGACTGTTCCAAGTTCGTTTGTTATTTAACGCTGCACTCAGCAATTTTCCAGCTACATGACGGCGGTCTGCAAATAATCGAGTCTGGACCAGACAATCCATTGATGACATGAGCATCGATCAACTGAGTTAGCATACGATGACATACATCAAGTCAGCGAGCCTGACCACGAGATCACGTAAGTCGCCTCCAGCATTTCAGTATCAGTATGACGTCACTATGTTGACAAGTTTTCTGGACAAGGAGACTGTTACTAAAGTACAACACACCAGTAATGAGAAAGCTCAGCTCTCAAATCATCGGGGGGAAAGCATATGTCCAACGAGGAGAACATCTGCCAAGTAGGGCAGAACACGGCAAATAATATACTCTTTAAAAAAAGAAACGCAAAGCCAGATTAGTGTAGGGCAACCCCTGGTCAGTCTCACTGTAAGTCCTCTCCCGGGGTGGTGGACTGGCACCATGGATCATCTGGGCCAACTTGTTTCTCTCGATCTTTTCCAACCTCTGCAGCACTTTGACAAGAGCAATATGTTAGGATGTTCCCTCTGCACTACATTGTTGAGATGGGTGCGTTATCCACTCTTCATGGAATGGTAGGATGGGACGCCGGCAGCCTCAAGGATCTCTGGTTCAGCAACTTCCTTGTCATAGATCATTTGAATCGAATTTGTCTGGGACTTAACTCACTGACGTGGAGCTGGCTATCCATATCTTCAGTGCTACCAGCTCTTCTGTCGGATGGTTGTGGAGAAACTGGCCCTGTGATGCACTTCCCGAGGCAGCCACACTGTACACAATATACGCAAGTCAGTCGCCAGTTGTTGAGTCTGTACCTGTAGCCATCTAACAAGACTTGATGCCCATTTTTCTGTGACGTGAAGTATTGTGACTCCCTTGGGATTCGCCATGGTTTTAAACCAACAATGTTATTACTTAGTGTTTAAGAGGTCGCCTTGGTGACCTGTCCCTCTTTGGGACTCAAACGTGTGTGTAGGGTACACATATTTATTGTGAGTTTTAGTATTGATAAGCTGCTGTTTAAATACGTTCGAATAGCTGGCCACCTTTCAGAAATAGTAAGTGTGGCCTTTGGTATTGCATCTGTTGGCTTTGGGAGATCAACGACAGATATCGGTTCTAAGTGCAATTCTTTGTTTTAACCGAGCCCGAGAAGGGACATTTTATCGACATTCCAGTAACAATTTTTAAGTGAGCAATGGTTACAGGTCGTTTGCAAGACGGGCACGCCTTCTCAAAATGTTTTTGTGACGTAGTTTCATTTGTGTATGAGTATGGCTTTTTGTGGAGTGGGTTTAATTTGAGTCATCTGCGGATCTTACTTGCCTCCCATTGGGCTTGCCGTTTTTAGACTGGGAGTTTTTGGTTTGATCAAGTGTGTTGGAAGAGATTAGTCTGTATCTCCACTTTGTCTCGAGTCGATTCTCTAGTGTGTCTGCTTTCTTTTTTATTTCAATGAACGTCTATCATGTCTCTGGGAGACGGGATCCTTCAGACATCCACTTGTTTGCCTTGATCTCATAGTTTTGTATATTCGTATTGATTCTTATGGACTAGAGTTGAATTTGTCGTTGATGACTCCAATTAAGCTGTGAATACTGATTGACGGTCAAGAAGGCGGACCGAATGTACTTGTGTATATATGGGCCCCAACTGCCCCAGGTAGTTTGAATTTTAGTGATAACTATTGAGCGTAGTAGGGTTGGGATTTCATTTGAGTGACTTCTGATATCAAAGCAGTGTTACGTCCAGGGAGGGTGTACCCCCTTTGTAGTCTTCCTGGTGGCTGAAGACCCGTGAAGATTCCGGGGTAGAATAGGTCTTCAGCAACCCATACTTGCCCTGAAAGGCGACTATGCTTGTCGTAAAAGCCGACTCACAGGAATGGGTGGTCAGGCTCGCTGACTTGGTTAATACGTCATCGATCCTAATTGCGTGGATCGATGTTCATGTCAATCACTGGATTGTCTGGTCCAGACTCGATTATTTTAGACCGCCGTCATATAGCGGGAATATTGCTGAGTGCGGCGTTAACAAACAAACAAAAACAAATCTGGTGGCTGAATGTCATCACAAGTGTGGCTTTTCGGAGTTCACGTGCTAATATCCCGGATGCTAGTATTACCTACTCTTATCTTAGTTTCAGCCAGAGTTGTGTTTCTACTTGTAGTGCTTCTAGTGAGGTACCTGTTGCTGCACCTGTGGCTAGCATTAAGGCTTGGCTTTGTATTCTGTCGAGGTTGCAGAAACTGCTTTCAGGTAAGTATGACATGTTTTCAACATATTCTGTTTACTCTTTGATCACGCCTAGACTGGTTTGACTAGGATAGAGAGACGGTCTATCACAGAATCTTTCCCCTTGTGTTTGAACCTGCATTTATTGCACCATTGACATCTCAGAGTTCATATTTTGTCAGGGCCTGAGTAAACTAAATAAAATATACACGTTAGTATTCTCACTGTAGGCATTAGTAGGTCCAGCCGCAGAAACGTCTTTTAGCGGTCTTTCCAATCAAATAGCACGTATCACAGGATATCTGAATGTATTGAGTGTGCATAAAATGGTAAGCCTTATGAGCATGCGTCTGATCATACTCCAATCATGGTCTGGTTGTCTGTGTGTCATCCCAAAATCACGCCCTGGTTGTATCAGTGTCGTCATATGCTAAAGTCGTTATAGATTAACAAATCATGACCTTGTTGTTTGGTTTGTCACCATATACGGTTCAAGGTATGGGTTTCTGTAGCGACGAGTCAAATAAATCACTTAGGGAGCAGCACAGAGACCCGGTTACCACAGCTACTGACATCACACTCCTAAGTATTCAACTATTAAGTGATTGCCGTAGCCTTGTGTGACCCTCTACAAACATACTAGATACAATAGATAACTTACTAGATAAAATGTTTGTTTATATCATCTCACAGATGTTTTAAGTAATGTCCTAACGAGTGTTGATGGTATATCTTTATGTTAGTGTATTCATATGTTACACCAAATTGGATGTGAGCATGTTGCTGACTATCTATCCTATGACAGCCGGGTCGTGAGGAGACCCAATGTAGATGAGATAGTGATACAGGACCAAACATTCCAGGATCTGCAGGTCGAATGCTCCAAACGTATGTATCGTAGGATAGGTCCCAGCACGGAATATAATACTTTTAAACATTCATTTTGACCATTTCATCTGTGCCTACACATGCTACAACTAACGATGGGCACCGTCACATATCAGTTTAAAGCTAAAACTTCTACAGGTGGTAGAGGTTTTGTATACTATTCTTACCACACATAAGAAAACCTGTTATTTGAAAGACTGGCCACCCGATCATTGAACCATTTCTTACAATCAAAGGTTGCTTGGAACAAATTCTAACCCGGAATCCCCACAGGAGCATGTCTGATTGAAGCTGAACCATCTTTTAGGGGAACTAAAGGGGGACACACTGCAATACTTTATTTATGTTTATTCATCATCTGAAATGAAAACATAATGCCACAAACTGTCTAAGTTATAAAAGCATTCAATGCTGTCACTTAAAACACATTGTAGTTGGAAGTATTTCATACCTCCATTTTTTAATTCAGTCATCATCAATATAAATAACATCATCAACAATGTGCAATGGAGGTGCTTGGACAGTTTTAGTTTTCACAGTACACATAGGAACACTTGTCCCCCCACTCTTCATTTTGGCAGCCTCAGACTTGTAAACAGGTGATATGCTCATGCCTGTGGATGTGTTATACCCTAAACTAGATGGTTCTGGCCTGGGTTTCACAGACCACAATTTGGGTGAATCACTCTTTTGTACTGGGTGCGAGGTAAAATGTCTCTGTGTTGGCACATTGGTCACAGGCACCTTATTCCCAAAGGCCTTCACAGCCTCAGGAGCTGCAACAGTTTTTATGTATCCACCTGAAGCAGACATAACCATGTGAGGAACAGGCGAGTCTCTTTTCTGAATAAGTGATCTTTGGACTGACTTTGCCATAACATTCCCATAATCCTCATCTGAAGACTGACTGTGAATGGAAATATCATCAGCCAGTTCTTTCCTCAAGTTTAAGAAATGTTGCTTTCTTCTGCTGGAACTTGCTGGACCAAGTAATCTTCTGTCGGCAACCATGGTATGTTCACCCCATGTCTTGACCATTTGACCACTGTGAGGAATCTTCCCATGAGAATCAACTCTCTTCTTGGGACCAGCTGGCTGTTCATTAATTGGTACATACACCAACTTTGACGACTGGTGACCGTTAAACTGTTTCTCTACCTTTCTCACAAGAAACTGTGGTCTGGGCTGGATGCAATATTGCGAAGGTACTGCACCAGATACCCTAGCATTCTGCTGAGTTCTGAGCTGTAGAATGTTCTGATGACGTCTTTGGGCCTGCATGGGCATTGGTCTTACCTCGCGAGTGACACCAGTATTGGTACAATAATACAGTTTAGATCTGTCAGCAATGGGAGGAGGCTGTACTTCCACTATGCTGATATCATCATCAATCCATTCAGCTCCAAGGCTGCTCTTTTTCTCCTTCCAAAACTGGATCTCTTCCTTTGACACCCTTTTTAACACAACTCTACATGTGGCCATTTGACGCTTCAACTGCCTGCTTCGTTTGTTCAGTCCTGTTCTTACTTTCCTCAAGAACTCACCTTTTTGCTCCTTATTGAATTTATACTCATGTATGTGTTTGAAACAGTGCTTCCGTTTCTTTTTGTATGTTACAGGATAGTCATTTGAACGGTACCTCAATTTATCAAGAAACCCATTCCGAACCACTGTTGAGCAGTGCTCTTCCACATCTTTGATTGTGCACACTGAACTGTCAGGTTTGATGTGTTTCTTGACTCTCTTCCCAAGAAGTGATGAAAATGGTACATTAAGAAGAGCTCCTTGAATATTCTTGCTTGGACTAGTCGCCTCAGTGGCCTCACCATCACTGGCATCGTCTGGTACTGAGAAACTGAGTCTCTTCCTGGAAGTACCCTCCCCATCTCGACTCAGCTGGGACATAAGGGACCTTGGTGTTCGTGGAGAGGTCAAAGGCCTACTGTCCAAACCTTCCACAGCAACTATCTCACAATCAATGTCCATATCAGACTTGGACCTGGACACAACATTTTTGGCTTGTTTGCTTGATAATAGTCCAAATGATTTCAAGAAATCAGATTGATGCACTCCATTGTTGCAGGGCAAATCTTGACGCTTCCACAAAGGTATTTCTGGACGTCTCTTTCGAGGTCTTGGGAGAAATGGTGTAGACTTAGGTGGCCGTGTTTTTGGTTTACTACTTTGCACAGAAACAGCACATGTCTGGGAAGTGTGAGATGGTTTGTCAGACTGTGTTGAGACACTGTATTCATTTTCCATGTGGGTGAGAACATGCTCCTCCAACTTCGACTTTCCATTCTTGCCACCGAACCAGCGGTCACAACAGAAACACACATACACATCCACAACTTCCGCATCAGAGTCATCTGGAAGATAGTGTGATCAACATTAAAAAAAGGCATCATATGATCAATTCTGAACAGAAAAAGAAGCAAATTCAATTTCCCTAGCCTTGGACCTACCTACAGACGCACATTACTTATTGTTTTCATTGTATGTAAACTTTGAAGTCAAAAGTGTATCCCATGACAAGTTTACTTTTGAGGTAGGTTGCCTGCTTGCCTGAATTTTATGTGATAATAAATATCAATTCAAATATTCAACAATCATATTAAACCATTTGCCTTAGTCTTTCTGACATGTTGCCAAATACACTGACCATAGGAATCATACTTGGAACAAGTCATATCCAAATATCAATTTACCTTCTGCTTTTGTTTCATACAAAATGGCAAACCTTCCAAAATGCAGCACCAAAACATCATCCTGAGGTCACACACAATTATATACATATTTGTACTTAGAATAATATTATCCAAAATAAGGAAGGAAATCCAAGGATCCTTCTTACAAAGTACATGGAAGCCAGGAGTTAATTTCTGAGAGAACAACATGAGCTTCTAGCTACCCTAAACCAATTTATAGAGTATTGCATGTTCAATGTAGAACAAATGTAGCTACAGTACATTAATAAGAAAGTTGAATATAGCAACAAAAACAAACTGTCAAAAACCAGGGATTTACCTAGGATTCCAAACTAAGTGCTCTAAAGCAAATTGGGGGAAAAAATGTGATATTGGTCAAATTAGATTTTTTTTAACGTTCTTATTTTCATGAATTCTGAAGTATTGGGACATTATTAATTCAAATTGAGAATTTTTACTGTCATTTGCAGCAGACATGGGGGTCGAATATCAGCCTCTGAGCAGGTCTAGATAAATCCCTGAAATCATTAACACAGCGAATAAAATCATTGGCATGTCTCTTCAGGACATCAGCAGAATTTATGAGCAGCAAACAGTTAACAAAGCAAATAAAATATTAAGCGGTAATTCGCATGTTTTACATTCAGAGTATCAACATTTTCTTTCTTGCTGCTGGCTACGATTGCCCATGTTGAGAACAAACAGGGTCTGGAATTCATTTATACCAGCTCAGTTCTGTGATAATTGCATAGCATTTATTCACTAATGCCATATTTAATGATAATTCCATTTGTGATGTTCTTCTACAAATATATATGTGTTTATCAATAAGCTGAGAACTTGTGCTCCTGAAACCCAAATTTTCTTTAAGGTAATAAAGTGTTTTCATATCTTATCTTAATGTCACTTCCGGTGGAACTTTAGAGGGTTATTAATCACAATAATAAGAAAGTAATATACAGTTCCAGTTTGGGAAATCACATGGCTAATGCAAGACAACTTTAAAACAGAAGGGACCCGTGAAGATCTGGCTTAGAATAGGTCTTCAGCAACTATGCTTGTTGTAAGTGGCGACTAACAGGATCAGGTGATCAGGATTGCAGACTTGGTAGATGCATGTCATTGTATCTTAATTGCAATAAATTGATGCTTATAATATCAATCACTGGATTGTCTGGTCCAGACTCGCTTACTTACATACTGCTGTCATATAGCTGGAATATTGCCGAGTGTGGCGTTAAACAGCAAACAATAAAAACAAAGGTCCTAATGAGCAAGTTTGAAGCACATCTGGTTTAACTGTCTTGACCCTCTATTTCAGCCTCTATCACATGCCTGATTATTTCTGGTTGAAAACATGGATATTTACTCTTAAAAACATGTCATACAAACACGGGAGTTGGTTCAGTACACAAGGAAGCAGAAAGGAAGCAGAACTACCTAAAGAATACTTCCAGTGACCTTGAATAAATGTGGCATAAAACCACCTCTTTAATGCAATGTTTGAGGATGAACTGTAGCAACTTGCATCCCACTACAATGAATACTTCTAGACTTAATGTGAGCATCTAGGTGAAATTCAATGCAACACAACAAAGCAAATAATATATGCTACTCATTGACAATAGGTCACCGTGACCTGTCATCTTTTGTCATACATATAAAATCAAATCATATAACTTCAAAAACTATCTTCAGAAAAATCATTTTAGTGAATATTGCAAGCCTACTTTATGCATGACCTTCACTGTGACCTTACAGATGGAATAGATCACTCACAACCTTTTCCATCTGACCCATCCTAAGGGAGACATGTACCAACTTTCCTTGACATACAATAAAACCTTTCTTCGAATGGCATGTCAATGTGCAAAAACGTCCAAGGACAACAAAGGAGATATGCAGTGAGGTGAAATGGGTTTAATTGAACTAATATGGTGATGTGCATGCGCTTGTACTATTTCGGACTTATGCTGATTTCATAGTGCTAGCCCACTAAGATACCATGCCTAAGGTTTAACATGAATACCCCAATCAGACACAGTATACTGACTCCGAGGCAACAAGTCCTTGTTTTAGATAGACCCTTATGGCCGAGGCCCAGACAGGGTAACAACAAGTACCATCTTATAACATCTTTCGGTATGACTCGGCCAGGGATCGAATCCCCCAATATTCCGCTCTCCTGTCAGATGCTCTACTACTAGACCACGGAGGTGGTCCTGCAAAGGAGATATGCATGCTATGATATCCCTAAGTTATCCAAACGGAATCGTTGTTTCAAAAATAAAGTGTGGTGGTGGTTAAATTCAGACAAAACTATCAAGCCTCCCCTTTTACATGGTGCTCCTAAACAAAGACTTTACAGTTATCTATTTCAAAGACAGGAGAAAGTCAGAAATCATAAGTGGCAAGGTGGAAGTACATACCATCAGAAGAATCCACAGACAGGACATCAGCATTGTTTTTCAGGCTAGTCTGCAAGACAACATCAAACACTACAGCAAAATCATGATAAATTTTGTACCATAAATTTCCAACCTTTCAAAAAGTAACAAGAAAGCAGCCTTATGACTATGGGGTATATTAGAATTCTGTTTGTTCATATAGAAGTGAATATAAACTATAAAAAAAAGAGTCCAATAAAGCCTTAGAAGTGATAGGCACTTGGTTGCTCTATGTCACCAGAAAAATATGATTAAATGTGAAATTAATACAAACAAAAGGTCCTTCTCTGGAAAAAATAACTCAGTCTTGATAAGCATATCTTGGGTAAGCCAACTTCAGTAGTTTCTGAACACACACTATGCACTCAGTAAAATAACATGGATCAAGGGCCATAACTCTGTGAAGAAATAATTGACGGGACCAATTTTCAAACTCAAATCTTGACAAATATCTCTTAGATAAGCATGCAAACTTTCATTAAAGTAACTTCAGTAGTTCTTGAGAAAACTTGTCCCCATTTCACACAGTATACACTAACTTGAAAAGCACGAATCAAGGGTCATAACTCGGTAAAATATGAATTCAAGACATCAATTTTCAAGCTCATTTGAGATCATGACCAGTAACATCAGTGAGTAAAATTTCATTCCTTTGAATTAAATAGTTTTTAAGAACATTTGTCCGTTCCTATATCCCCCAACCCACTTCGTGGCGGAGGATAAAAATAATGCTTTATGGGCCAATTACTAGATCCTTTAGATTTGTGACATGAGGACATTTGTCTTGAATACTGGAACCCATGATAACTTTATACCATGTCATTAATGTACAACTTGAACGTAGCCATTTTTGCATGAATGAATGTATAACAATTTTTTATTTAGGCTTTCTTGTATGAAAATCTTACTACATGTAGTACAACATGACATGTACACTGCAGCCTACAGAGTTAAAAAATGTTTTCTTCACTGCCATATTGGAACCAATATCTATCATGTGAATGTGCAAACACGAATAGAAACAGATGATGATAAACAACCGACAAACTGAAAGTGTGCTTGCACTGCATCACAGTTTATAGTAGTCATAATCATGGTAAGAGGAAAGGGTTTTTCTTCCAGGAGCAGACAGGCCTAATGACAGAATAACTGACATGTCTAGGCTTCATATAATAGACAGATAGTAACACTCAACGCATATTTACCAGATCAGCTGTTGTGTTTGGCTTTGTCAGCAATTCAGTGTGGCCCATATACTCATAACATGCTTGGACTACACTTCGAAGTTTGTCAGTAGATTCACATTCCCCACCAGCAAACTGAAACAGTTATTCTCTGCATACAACACAATCCAACTGGCTTTGAGGACAAAAGCACATGTAGAAAAACATCTTTACTGAACAGTCACATTAATGTTTCCTTTCCTCAATGTGTGAGAGTTCCTTACTTTATTGACACATTCCTTCAAGATGTAAGTTAGACACATTGCTTCGATTGCAACCAAATATTCTGTTCCGGAACATGGTTATCACGTAAATATGTTTGCTGAGTGTACCCTCATCATCAAGTGTTGATCTATCATGCTGTACCTAAATTAACAACCCCTCATTACTTAAATCCACCGTGTCACACCTCTGAAACACACATGTCTGGATACCTGTTTTAAAAGATCATCACTGTCTTTGACACTTGGAGCAACCCAGGGAATGTCCACAGGCCACCACTCAGGTTTGTAGAACTGGCTGGCTGGTGGGGTGGGTGTTCTGGCTGGACATGCTATGTTGATCAAGCGTGGAAGGAATTCCTCCAACTGGGGCTGGAAGAGGACACAGACACAATCTTACTTAAACAAGCATGAAATACTCATATCCCCTAAGATGACATGTCCAGTTATGTGCAATGCATTAGCTCCCGTGAACTATGTTCACTGGAACCTTTTTGCAAATGGCCTAATTGCAGCACTAAAAAAGTTATGACTGGTGTTGTTTTGCAATATGCAGTTTATGATAGAATAGGTAACTGTTTTTGTAATGAGTAAGGATAAAACATATGGACGAACAACTTCTTTATTACAATTAGGAGCGACGTTTCGGTGTAGGTTCTAACACCGTTATCAAGCAAGTGAAGTACAGAGTATGGTTGACAAGAATATATACAGAATAAGAGGCAGTGTTTATAAGGTTGAGTAGGTTTAAGATCAGTTACACTGTTGTATTTGAAATGAGTTGTGTTTCTGCATAAAGCTAGTCAATGAATACAACAACCATGTCCAAGACACTTTTGGAGAAACATCAACACAAGCAATGCAGAACTTACCAACAAGAATGGAAATGTATTCAATACTGCGAGATGACATTATGTGCCAAGTTTGGTGAAGAAATATGGTACGGTTTTCAAGATCTGCTTGGTGAAGAAATATGGTACGGTTTTCAAGATCTGATCCAGAAACGAGGACTACCGCCATTTTCAATCTTAATCAAAGTCGTTGCCATGGAAACTCGAAAAATAATTTGCTTATAGGTGCAATCATCAGCTCATAGGTGCTACCTTGACACTTGTGGATTCTGAGGCCCGATGCTTAAGTCCCTGGATACTGTTTTCTTTCAACCATGACAGACTATTGTACAATTTTCAAGATCAGCTCCGGTTACAAGGACTACCACCATTTTCAGTGTAAGTCAAAATTGTTGCCAGGGAAACTCGAAAAAAATTATTTTTTTTAAAATCACAAAGTATCAAAAGGCACCAGTTTATCACTAGACCTACCTATGTGCCAAGTTTAGTGAAGAAATATTCTACAGTTTTCAAGATCTGCTCCGGAAACGAGCACTACCACCATTTTCAGTGTAAGTCAAATTCGTTGCCAGGGAAACTCAAAAAAATACTTTTTTTAAACCCCAAAGTATCAAAAGGCACCAGTTTATCACTAGACCTATCTATGTGACAAGTTTAGTGAAGAAATATTGTACAGTTTTCAAGATCTGCTACTGAAACGAGCACTACCACCATTTTCAGTGTAAGTTAAAGTCGTTGCCATGGAAACTCAAATTATTTTATTTAAAATAAACCAAACTATCAAAAGGCACCAGTTCACCACTAGACCTATCTATGTGCCAAGTTTGGTTAAGGTATCTCTCGTGGTTTTTTAGTTCTGCTCCGGAAACGAAATGTGACGGACGGACGGAAGGACAAATATACAGCACCCAATCCTATATCCCACTTCCACTTTGTCGCAGTGGATAATAATATTTTGTATATAATATATAATAGAATTGTTCTAGGCAATGCTCCAGATAATTGTGTATTGTGTAAGCCATTGAGCATTTACTCACACACAACCATTCAAATTAGGTATTCCATTATTTGATCTCCCTTGGATCCAGTCTATTGGGTATTTCTAAACCCATTTAAACCAATGGGTAGACAATTTTGTAGACAATTCTGTTGTTTCAGGTTTCATGTTAACTGAGTTCACAAGCACCCGAACACTAACTTGATAACTTTAGGCATAAATATACACACCTTGGTCATTGAATACAGAGACAGGGGAGGTAACTCCACCATCTTCTCTTCCCTCAAATTCTGCTCCAAGATCATGATCTCATGTTCTTCATGCTATATATCCAAAGACACTTCAACTGGTATAAGGAGTCTGTAAGAAAAAGTTAATTATATAAAATAGTGCCACAGCTTTGCTGCTCAACTGGATGTGTAGCCATCTCTACAATGATATAAAAAAATAGTTTCTGCAAAAATAATGAGGACCAACTGCTAATGTGAAATAGGTAACTACGTTGTCAAGAAACATTTCACATATTTATATATTTTGTTAATTCAACCATGACAGTTATATGGAGACAAACATTCAAACTGAGTTTCAGCAAGGTGAGTTGAAATAAGGTTTAACGTTGCATTCATGATGATTGCACTTATAGCAATGTGCTTGCATGCGTACTAGTCCGGACTAACGCCTATAGAGCTAGCCCACTGAGATACCATGCCACAGTTTAACATGAATACCTCACTCCGACACAGAATACTGACTCCAAGCCAACTAGTCCTTGTTTTAACCCCTTAATGCAGAGTGCCAGGAAGTGTAACAACAAGTATCATCTTTTAACTTTTTTTGGTATGATGTGGCTGGGGATCAAACCCCGGACCTTCCACTCTCTGGGCGGATGCTCTACCACTAGATGACGGAGGTGATGAATGTCAAAACATTTGGGTTAGTCGAGTAACATGCCTCACATGTTTCCAATAATCTTTACAAAGCACATGAGACTTTAATTCTTTCATTAGTTGCAACAACCGTTTTTTGAGTGATATTAAAACTCTTGAAAATATAACCATAAAATCTGCATTATTTGAACAAAATATCAAGAAACAAACATGCTAGTTCAGCTACCTGAGTTTGGCTGTATCTTTGGAGATGATTTTTTTTCAGATTTTCAGAGCCAAAAATGCATCTTGATAGTACTCATGAGCGGTGGGGTAGCCTAGTGGTTAAAGCGTTGGCTTGTCACGCCGAAGACCCAGGTTCGATTACCCACATGGGTACAATGTGTGAAGCCCATTTTCCGGTGTCCGGACTCCCCCGCCGTGATATTGCTGGAATATTGCTAAAAGCGGCGTAAAACTGTACTCACTCACTCGCAAAGCCAAAATGCCCAAGTGAATATTTAAAACATCGCAAAAACATCAAAAAAAGGCAGAACACGTGCTGTGTCGAACTAGTAACTAGACAAAACAAAAATGGCTGAGTAACGGCCATGAATCGCACAGAAATGAAAATTTGATTTAAACTATTTTAATTCAGGTCTTGTAATTGGTAGAAACAAGCATGTTAAGTTGAATTGGTCTGCTGTTTCTGAGATGTTTGCAGACAAACTACAATGTCAGACAAGCAGGCCACAAGATAGATCATTTAGTCAGGTGATAAATAAATAGTGTAGCTAACCTGGATATGTAGTCAACAGTGTAATGTGTCAACAAAACAACAAAGACAGACCCTTAACAAAACGTGAAACATTTTTTCCAATTTCTTGTAACTGACGGTAATTAAATGGTAAAATAGGACATGGACGGGTAAACTGGAACCCTATCGGTCCACTGGAATGGCAGTAAATATGACATCTTCAAAATGAAGTATTGACCAAAACTATGAATAAATGCTGTCTTAAAACCAAACAATGTTTTAGCATGTTTGTTAGGCAGGGGGCAGGGAGATTCTTAGTCCATATTTAGCCAAGCTTACCGGTAATCATTGGTTGATATGAATCACATGATAATCTTGTAGACAAAACATGAATAGTGGCACCAAAAGGAGAAAATGAAAACAAAAGTAATTACACAATACACATAAAACGTCTAACATGTCTAATGAGAACAGTCTTACTTCTTGTCAATAACAAGAAAGTTTCATCAGGACTTGTTGAACGCGTTCCAATGGCTGCGTGTGTGAGAATACAAGTTCGGAAAATGACATCGGAGGTAATATTTTGTACTGTAGATTTATGAAGCTGCAGGAAAATTAAAGCAATTAAAGATCCTCATGACAGTGCCAGGCACTATAAGGCTGTTACCATTAGGTTTATTGATAGGACTGGCAGAATATTGAACAAACCAGTATAACTGCCAGTCAGGTAAACCGGTAATTTTAAAACAGAACGGAAACACTGGGCCATTAGAAATCATTTTTTAACCTCTTCTAAATTCTGGTGTTATCATTAGTTGTCCAGCGTTTTCTGAAGATGATGTTTACATTCAAGGAAATGCATTTGTGAGCATATATGGGCATGGTCTGAAGTGCAATTGTCAAATACAGTACCAATGTAAAATTAAGTCTGTCAATAATTTTTAACAAGTCTTTTTCATTTTGTAACAATTCAAGGCTTTTCAAGCTATTTTGGTGATTTTCAAGGCTTTTCAAGGTTGATAATAAAAATTAAAGCTTTTCAAGTGGGGGGAACTTTTCAAGCCTATACAAACCTTGCATATGGTTTATCAATTATGCTCTTGTAATGAACGCTACCCTCATTAGTTAAAAAACAAAAGAAAATGCAAGGGTAATAACTAAATTAGTCAGTAAAATATGTGAGGTGAAATGGGGTTTAACATTGCATCCCAAAAATTGCACTTACATAGCGACGTGCATTTATGTGTGTGTGTGGCTGCTGATTAATAGTGCTAGGACACTGAGATAAGATGCGGCAGTTTAACATGAATACCCCACTCAGACACAGTATACTGACTCTGAGCCGACCAGTCCTTGTTTTAAGCCCCTTAATGCAGAGTACCAGGCAGTGTAACAACAAGTACCATCTTTTAACACCTTTTGGTATGACGTGACTAGGGATCAAACCCAGGACCTTCCACTCTCAGGACGGATGCTCTATCACTAGATCACGGAAGCAGTCCGTAAAATGTCTTCTCGATAGTAGTTTTCAACCTTGGGAAAGATAATGATGTATTCATAATAATGTATTCTTACTAAACATTTGTTTTTATTTGGGATTTTTTTTCTGGTCTTTTCCAGTCAATAACATTCATAATACCAGGAATTTAGGATCTCTACCATACTTAATCATGTTTATGAAATGGAAATTTGCATACCAACAGTTTGTTCTAGGTAAAGTGTTCACCCTCTGTTGGTTAAAGAATAATGCACATGAAAATTGTAGCACTTTCTCCTTGTAATAGCCCTAATTGTAAAACTTAAAGATTTAGAGGGTCCCTAGATTTAATTCTCCTTCCAGCAACAGTCATCTTTCCATCACCTACTAAGCAGTTGGGAGTCGTCAACACAGGTCCTATAAGAGTGTACCTCACATACATATTTGCATGCAAATAAAGAACCCAACAAGACTATATTACCCAAATTGTCACTTCTGATTCCCAAATATGTCCCTCTTATAAAAGCCTTGTGTCTTCGCATCCCTGTTCAATCCACAGGATGAAAAGGTCTAGGGCTGTATTCCGCAAGGCAATCTTAGCTCTAAGCAGGGATGTGAGCAGGTTTTCCCGAAAAAAGAGGAAAAGTCTAGGGTGGTCTGGGGGTATGCCCCCCCCCAGAAATTTTTAAAACATTTGATTGCATTTTAAGCAATTTCATGCAGTTTGGACAACATTCACACCAAGAAATGTAATAAGTCAATGGCAAAAGTCAATAAGTAAAATAAACAAGATGGCAGATGCAGTAAAATTTCGAAGTTAAATCAGTACTTTAAAAAAATCGGGCATAGCTTTCGCGCACCTGGCTACCCGCCAGGTCTGGGAGCAATACTGCCATAAACTTCAACCCCCATCCCCCAGACACAAGGACAACTGTCACAAGTGTGCAATGTCTGACCCTTTCCCCATGTTGAAGCATATTGAAAAAAACTTACCTTGTACTTACCTTTTGATGAAAAAAAACAAAACTCCATTGCAAACATAAGACATTAATACAATATATATCCCCATGACATGGGGTTTTGGACGCTGAAGAAACATTCATAAATTTCTCGCTTATCACATGAACAACTGTAAAACATCTCATTCACTTACAGGCTAAAAGACAACTTTATCTTAAAAACAAGCCATCAGCTGACTCTGAGTATTTACAATTTCTGTGTGACGCCATGCCCCACGTTATAGTGCAAGTATTCGTGACAGAAAACGTATGATGTCCGAAAACCTATGCTGTGAAAGCTCCGATCGAAAACAGGACAATCCGCGCCAATTGTCCGGTTTTCGATCATATTTTTCGGAGTGTTTTTTTTTTAAATTTTTAAAAAAAATTCCGCGGAAGATGATTTTTTCCCGAGGACTACTGTTTTAAAAAACGCGACTTTCCGCGTTTCCGCGGAGATTTCACATCCCTGTCTAAGACAATCATTGCGCCAATACTTTAATATAGACTTATGACAGTCGTAGCATTAAGATCGCAGTGTGAAACGTGGCTCGTGTGAGTATAGTTTTACCCTGCTTTTCAGCAATATTCCAGCCTTATCATGGCAGGGGAAACCAGAAATGGACTCACACATTGTCCCTGGGTCTTTCGAGTGACGAGTGAATGCTTTAACCACTTGGCTACCCCACTTCCACGAATAGGTCCAGAGAAACTTATGCTTGTGATAAGAGGCATCTAAAATTGGGTGGTCTGGCTTGGTTACTTGGTTGAGTGCGTGTCAATGTAACTTTAAGAGGTTGGACATTGGTCATAGCAAGCACATAGTTTGACTTGTCCAGGCATTATTACTTACAGGCAGCCATAATACAGTTAGAAATTGCTGATGGACGATACATATACATCATTCAAAATAAGAGGAAACCAGATTAAAACAAATATTTTCCCCAAAAGATTTTTGCTGAAAGAAGTGATATGACCAACACCAATGACACATTGAAGGTGTGTGTGCTGCCAAAATGTATCACAGCTTTGTGGCGGGAATGAAAAAATGTTGACACAGTTCTTATTTTCAAAGATGTTTTTTCACATTTGAACATTATTAGGGACTGCTCATTTATTATAGGGAGGGGGTCATGAAAAAAAAGAATTGGGGGTGATGTGTCCAAAGGACAATCTCAACCCTATAATAAAATACCAGTCCCTAATCTGACCCCCCATATTTGAAACAATTTTATGGTAGGTTAATTCACAATTCATATTCA